AGTCATCACAAGTTCCCAGAAACATGAGCCAACAAAGGAAAAGGGCATTGGCACGATACAAATGAACATCTATTTGTGTTTCTGTTGGGCATGTTGACCCAGCCCACCTCAGGGGAACCCCTTTTAAGGTCATGGCCACAGAACAACAGCACGTACTCTTGTTCCATTGGTTTAGAGACCACTGACTTCACAGTCTAGATTTCTCTGACTTTCCTCTACAGGATGACTTGGGAAATTCCATGTCTGACCAAATTTATTTTTTTCTGTAAGAAAAAGGTTCAGGGAATCTAATCATCTATGTAATTATATGTTGTTATATTTAGGCAATTATATGCAATAATTTGCATAGTTGATCTAGAAATTTACAAATTCTCCTTAAAACAACTTTTATCTCAGCTACATATCAGCACCGGCGTCTTTATAGGTATGATGAGCCACTCTTTAATTAGCACAAAATTCATCATCATCTCAATAGTTTTACATACTTGGATTATATTCTAGTTCAAAGGTTGTGCCTATTTTCTATAAAACTGGCAAGTTTTTAAGTTAGAAGTTTTGTCTTTTTCTAATTATATTTAATCACATGATTGGAAAGTTGCAAAATTCAGTGATTCCCAGTGAGTCTTCTGTTTCTTCAGCAAATGACTGAAGTGTTGTTTGGTTGGCAGTCACTCAAAGTATATTAAACTGCAAAGCACTTTATCATTATTCTTCTAAGACCTTGGAATAAATAGATTTCATCTAATAAACTGCTCCTCCAAGGGTACAACAGTTTTGCAATTGCAAGCATTAAAAAGCCAACTCCTGAAAATTTCCTGTAACATGTCACGTACTGAAACAAAAGGAAAAACTGGACACCTACTGCAAATATCTGGCTATTCATAGAGACTATGAAGGAGAAATGGTGGCTTTCAGTACTCTCTACCACCAAAGTGTCTGTTTTTTAAACATAATTTCATGGCTCTAAAGCACCTTTGTAGAATCCCTAGTGCTTGTATGGGCTGAACTTTGGTCCCTCTGCCTTCGCCTTCTTTTTAATGGATGCTGATTTGAATTGAGGAGTGTTGGCCATTTGTTTTTCAAATTTGTCCTTGATATGTGAGGAGGGTAGACCAAGTGTGCACCATTTCTTAAATGAAATTATCTACAAGCAACCAATTTAAATGGACAAATCAGTATTTATGCCTAAATACACATGCTGATGGTATCATTTCTTGGACAATCAGAGCAATATATTCCGAAGGCATTTAATCAGGATTATCCCAGAGTTCCCACATGATGTCAGCTGTGCTGTGTGACATCATCACAACATTCAGTGCTTAGGGAACTCAAAGTGAAACAGATGGTAATATGAGCTGTGACAGAATATGTACCTGCTGGGAGTGGAGACTCTAAGCAAAAGGATAGTTTTGAGGCTTCATTTCCTTTCCTTTTGATTAAATCTCGACCTCAAAGACTGTTGTCCAGCAGGTTGCTATTCTGTAAGGCCATCCTAGTTGGAATTTGTGATTTCTAAGTGTTCTTGAAGAACTTTTTCTAATTCCTGTTTTAAGTACAATCACATTGTTTGCAGTATAAACTGAAGAGAGGGATAAATAGAGAACAGGTTACAAAAGGACTGAGTGATTTTTGTTTTTGTTTTCAATGAAAATTTTATTAAAGTTAAATTGTTTAGACATTGAGGATTGCCTTAGCCTGTGCAGGCTGCAGTAACAGAATACTATGCATACACTGAGTAGCTTACAGACAACAGTAATTTATTTCACACAGTTCTGAGAAGTCCAAGATCAAGACAGCTGTAGATCTGGTGTGTGGTAGAGCCCACATGCTCATTATGGCACCTCCTGGCTCAGTCTTCACATAAAGGGGCACTTTGGGATCCCTTCTATAAAAATACTAATCCCAAACTTGAAGGCCCATCATCATATCAAACCACTCAAAAGGCTCTATCCCCCAGTACTGTCACCTTGGGTGACAAGGCAGTATATAAAACTGGGTACGGTGGCTCCACCTATAATTCCAGCACTTGAGAAGCTGAGGCAGGAGGATTTCCATAGCTCAAGGCCAATTTGAACAACAGAGTGAGACCATCTCAAAAACCCAACCCAAACAAAAAGAAAAACCCTACAGGAATGCCCCACCAAGTCTTCAAAATTTCAAAATAATTTAAAAAAATTATTATTTACTTATTATTTGTGTGTGTGTGTGTGTGTGTGCGTGTGTGTGCGTGCGCGTGTGCATGCAGGTGTGTAGATGTCACTGGACACATGTGAAAGTCAGAGGACAGTTTTAGGGGGCTGGTGTTCTTCTATCATGGAACTCAGGTTATCAGGCTTGCATGGCAAGCATTTTTACCCACTGAGCCATTTCACCAGCCCAATATATAAATTTTAAAAGACACAACTCAATTCAACAAAAGCAAACAAAAAATCCCTAGTCCACAAGATTTCAATATATAAATTTTAGAGAACACATTCAGACCATAGCAAGGGTGATGACAGAGAAGAGCCTTTGCACTCTCTATCTCTCTCTCGCTCACTCGCTCTCTCCCTCTCTCTTGCTCGCTCACTCGCTCACTCACTCTCTCACTCTCGCTCGCTCACTCGCTCGCTCTCACTCTCTGTATGTGTCTGTCTGTCTATCTGCCTGTCTCAGTTTTCTTTCAAGGAATAAGTTTAGCAATATAGGTTGATGGCAACAGTTAGAAGGGGAACTCGTTTAAGAAAGATAGAGGCAATGAAGGTCATTTAAAACCTGGTACATTAGAGTTTGCAACTGACCCTTGTCATTTTTCTTGGGCTTAAATTCTATGATCAAAGTTTCTCTCAGCTCTTAGAATAATAATAGTAGTAGTTATTATGTTTTTTTCATAGGTAATTCTATGTAACCCTGACCTGAGAGTGTATACTATTGTCCTAGTTTGCTTCTCTATTGCTGTGATAAAACACTCTGACCAAGTTGTCAGGGAAAGGGTTTATTTGGTTTACATGTTCCCATTAAGTACATCATTGAGGGAAGCTAGGGCAGGAGCTCAAGTGTCCAGAGGTAGGAGCTAAAGCACAGACCAGGGAGGAGTGCTGCCTACTGACTTGCTCCCCTGGCCTGTGCTCAGCCTGCTTTCTTATACAACACAGAACGAGTGGCACCACCCACAGTGGCATGGGTCCTCCCACAGCACTCAACAATCAAGAAAATACCCTACAGACATGGCCACAGGCCAATCTCATAGTAGTAACTTCCCAGTTGAGTTTCCCTTTTCCTAGGTGTGAAAAGGTGACAAGTGGATGATCCAGCACAACAGTGAACTGTCTTCTATCTTCTGGAGTCTGATCTTGAGCTAAAAATTAAGACAAATATAAAGTGGATAATGTAGCAACTAGCCACAAACATGTTAAAGATTAAGCAGGACAAGATGGTTATACCCAAGTTAACCAACATCACAATAACCATATGATTAAAAAAATAACACAAGTTACTGTAATTGATTTTTTTTCAGTCACAGCCATAAATGCCAATATAAAATTGTCATCTCTCCCAGATCCTTCTATTTCTCTGACTCTAATTCCAAATAAAGTGAAAAATGCTAATTCAAACACACACACTCACACACACAGAAATTATGTTTATTATCTTTTGAAATGTGTCTCAGCTACTTTTACAGAAATAAAATATGTCCAGTTTTGAAGATTTATAATCTCTTTGGCAAATCATTCACTTTTAAACTCTGAGGTAAACATTTAAAAATCTCTGCTGCTTGCTTTTTTGATGGATTTTAACACACCTGGTAAAGGAGGCTTTAACAACAGGCTGGTGATAATGGTTATAGTTGAAGGTGGGAGTTACCTGGCCATGAGATGCTTCCTGAGAAGAGGATGGAGTTGAATGTATGAATGTTGAATGTGATGAAAATCCTAAACTCTTCTTTGACACTGTGGTTGATCTCTTGATCTGTTCTTACTTCTGGTTCTTCTAATGCATTTCTTCCCCTCCTTGAGGGTTGATAAGAGTTCTATAAATAACACCTATGTAGAGTTTCCTATGACCTCTGCCCTTTGAGCTCATCTGCAGGGAGTTAGGTGTTTAGCTTTTTCTAGGAAAATACTTTTCAATCATTAAACCTTTGGGTGAAAAACACGTTTTAACCCCTTCATTACCCTTTCCACCATCTTGCAGAAGGCTTGATGTGAAAGATAGCACCAGGCTGGTGAATAGCCGCAACAGCAGCAGTGAATCCTCTGGTTTCCTTAAGCCACATGTGTGGGATACAAAAGCTGCCAAATGTTTTTCTCTCCAACCTCAAACAATGTCTTTATTTTTCTGTGTTATCAAAATGTCTACCAGTCCTAGAAAGTAGTAGCTATGGAAGAGATTTGCTTCTTCCAATGCTAAGGTTAATAGATCTATTATTATCATAATACATCTTCTATTCACTGGCCTGGTATATTCTTCAACACAGGCAGGCCCTTGAAGGGTAAAACTACTACAATCTCAATTATAGGGGAACCTATGCCAGTTGAGAAATATACATTAAACCCAGATGTGGCCAAACATGGTGCTTCTTGTTAAGCACCAACAAATGGAAAATTTCCATTTTGTTTTCCAATTAATTGAGATAAATGTTAATTATTGCTAGTTCACCTTACTTAAATTTGCCTTGAGAAGCCACAGCAGTGTCCACAGTGGTGACTAATTTTATAATTATAGAACCTATCCACATGGAGAATTTTGAGCTGTTTATTTTTCTACTTCATTTACAATAATCATTATTAGGGATTTCATGGTTACATGGGGGATGCTTCGGCTCCTTTTGGTCCATTTTTTTCTTTGAGAGAAAGAGTGGTCTAGTAACTATATGTATTTCTGAAGATTACATAATTGATGACATAATAAACTAAAGAGTCCACAAAAGGAGACATTTTGGAAGGGCAGGAGCTAGTATTGCTATTTTCAGGGAAGGTTGGAGCACTCTCAATTATATCTCACTAATCTCATCTTCCTAGATGGATTAAATTTGAAGAGAAAGTGGAGCAGGGTGGAGAAAGATGGAGCAAACCCCATGTGGCCACATTGTCCCTACACAGCTTGTTTGAGCTGAGGACCTGTATGGAGAAAGGGTCCATCATGCTTGACCGGGAGGCTTCTTCTCTCCCACAGTTGGTGGGTAAGTATGCTGTTCTTGCTTCTTGTTACTTTATGGTTTATGAATACAAAAATGTCCTTAAAGCACATGCCTATCAGGGTAAGTGGAGTTGGATCATTGTATATTCTCTATAACATTTATTCTTAGAGTTGTATACTGTGAAATGAGTGATTTAATACAGAAAATTTGGAAAAATTCAGACAAATATTTAGAAAAATCATGCATGTAATACTCATTTCTGGTGATTGCGAGTGGTAACATTTTGGAATATTTTCTTTTAAATTTATTCACCAATCTCCATTTTTCTGATTTTCATTTGTCCATTGTTTTTCATTGCAATTATGGTCATATTTAATATGCATAAGCATATTCATTATGAGTGTGAGGTTAATATTTTTGTGTGTGCATATGTGTATTTGTGTGTGGGTAGATGTGGGTGTTGGTATGCATGCATGTATGTGCGTATTCACATGGAGACCCTGGTACTGTTCCTCATAATCCGTTCATCCATTCATCTTGGCTTTTGAGGTAGAGTCTTTCATTGGCTTGGCGCTCACTCAGTAGTGTAGGCTGGCTGGCCAGTGAGCCACAGGGATCCATTAGCCTCTACCTCCCCAGTGCTGGGACTTTAAGTGCATGCCACCATGCCTGACTTTTTTTACATGGGTTCTAGGGATTGAACTCAAGTCCTCATGCCTGTGTGAGCTATCTTCCTAACCCACATTAATATACTGAATAGAGCCCTCTCACCCACTCATCTTTGGTTACATTGGGCTAGCTGTGTGGATACTAGGTTTCTAGAACACTTTGACCCTAGATATTACACTTAGGTTTTCTGCACCTCAGTTCAGAAAAAAAATATATTTCAAGATAAAGTTGAAATCTTATGTAAGAAGGGAAATACTGGGAGACATGGTGGTATATGCCTTTAATCCCAGCACTTTGGAGGCAGAGGCAGGTGGATCTCTGTGAGTTTGAGGCCAGCCTGGTCTACATAGCAAGTTCCAGGCCAGCTGGGACTACAGAGAGATCCTGTCTCAAAAAGGTCCCCTTCCCCCCCAAAAGGGAAATACTCTGCTTCCTAGGCTGGGTCTGATTGAAGGTGGATGCCAAGTCATTTAGCTGTGTATAGAGAAATGTTGTGGAGCAGGGAGCCAGGAGGACCTTATGAGTTAGAGACTAAATCAAGTCACATGGGTGCCAAGTATCACCTGTATCACCAGAGCTTCTGGAATTTCTCTCCTTGAAATCTCACCATTTAGACATTCCACTGAGCATATGGTTTGGTCTCTACGAAGAAAGACTTCTTAGAAGGGGTTGTATATTAATTTCATGTGATACTGAGTGGTATCACAGAAAGAATGCTGGGGTTCATTTTGGGCAGCTTTAACTAAAGTCCTCCTCTGCTTGTGTGGATGTTCATGGTCATGCTACTTAGCACTTTTGGAGACTTGGATTCCTCACCTGCAAATGCAGGATAAGGCACAGTCCTTGTTTCCTTTTCTGATACTATGATAAAATACCCTGACAAGCCGGGCACTCGGGAGGCAGAGGCAGGCGGATCTCTGTGAGTTCAAGGCCAGCCTGGTCTACATGGTAAGTACCAGGACAGCTGGGGCTACAGGGAGACCTTGTCTCAAAAAGACAAACAAACGAACAAACAAACAATCAAAAAGCCCTGAGAAAAGCAGCCTAGGGGAGAAAAGGTTTATTTTAGTTCACAATTCTGGGTTTCAGTCCATCCTAGCAGGGCAGTCACAGAGGCAGGAACTTGAGAGAACTGGTCACATCATATCCATAATTGGAAACAAAGTAGAGAATGCATGCATGTTAGTACTTACCTGGCTTTCTCCTTTTTATCCAGTCCAGGATCCAAATCCAGGGAATGGTGCTGCCACCTACTTGCCCACAGAACAACCTAATCTGGGTGGTCCCTCACTGAGATTCTCTCTTCAGATGATTCTAGATTGTTTGAAAATGACAATTAAAACGAGTCATCACAGTGCACTCTTTGGAGAATTAAATGAGATCATCAGGTTGTTTGGGTGCATTCTTTTTCCCCAGTAAAATTAGCCATCTAGACTCTTCTACCTGTCACCTACCAGAGGGCTATATGTAGACTCACTTGAGCCTGGTGGACAGATGCTCAAGGATTTCAAGAGCAGAAGGAAGAATTCCAAAGCCTGGACTGTCAAGTAAAAGCTGGAAGTAGTGGAACAGCTTCTTCTTGGCTGGGTCTGGAACTGATCAAGAAGGAAGACTAAAGTGAAAGCCATGCATCTTAGCTAAAACTTTTTTGCAAAGCTCTTTTTGTGATCTTTAGCACCAAATAAAACCACCTAAACAGCTTTTGCTCTTCAACTACCTGACCTTTAAATGTAGCAGAAGACATATTCCTACATTAAATTAGAGATTCTTTAGCCAATGATCAAAGTAGAGAAGTTCTGGTATCTACTACATTTAAGAAAGATTAATTGAGCAGTTGATCAGTTGATGTTCCTGCTTTTTTAAACATTTATTACTTTTTATGATCAGTTGGGAACTTTTTTCCTCCAACCTCCCTGCATTTACTTTAAATATTGTCATTATGTGTTAAAATTAGACACTACTAGGTCACTTTAAGGTATCATCACTCACCAATATATTTGCTCCGCAGCCCTGGGGCAAGGAAGCAGAGAGCCAGTGCTGTCATTCTGGCATTGATAATACTGAAAAACAGTTCAGAGGCGAACCACACATCATGAACAAAACAAAGGGAGAATTAACAGGGCCCGTTTTGCAGGCAGAAAAGCTTGCTTAAAAGAGTGTAACTACATGATTAGAAGAAGCATTTCACTAGAGCTTTAACATATTCAGTAACACACTCCAGAGCAAGAATACATCTCTTTCACAAGTTGGTGTAAATTTTTAGGTTCACAGTTGAATTAATACAGTTGTACAAAATATACTGTTTCTTACATAACCATATAATTAGAAGAGGCAATTCATTACAACAGCATTGACATATTCAATGCGTTTTTAACCTTTAAAAAAGATCTCCATTTCATTTTAAAATACACTGTTTCTCACAGAAAGACTCATTGTTTTTGCTAATACCACAGAGATGTTGGCACATGCATCTCTAATCTGTATGTATCCGATTATTACTAGTCATAAGCGGTTGCACTTGGATCCTTGGTGCCTGTTTATGTCTGTAGTCATTGGGTAGATTTCAGTGGTAATGTTTATCACCTCTACTAATTAGCATGACGTAAATCTCCATGCTTCCTCCTCAAATATAATACATTTAAAAAAATTGTTGATTCTTTTTTTCTGTGTGTGTGTGCGTGTGTATATCACACAGAACATCCCAAACCATCTTATTCAACTATATACCCACTTCCCATTTGGCACCCTCTAATCATGTAGTTATTAAAAATTAAAAAGATTAAAAAATTCTTCAAAGCATAAAAATTTGCTCCTTAATAGTAGTTGTGAAAAACATTACCATTGAAATCTACCTGAAGACTTTATATCCATGCTCAGATGCCAAGGAGCCCAGAAAGTGACCGACTGTGACTAGTAATAATCAGATATATAGAGATTAGAAACACATGTGCAAACATCTTAATGTCAATTGCATTAAAAATGAATTTTTCTGTATGAAACTGTGTATTTTAATAATGGAGATCTTTTTTAAAGGTTAAAACTTCATTTAATTTTATGTCTTATAGGGTTTATACTGAGTACAATATTGTATAACTGTAATAATTCAACTGTAAACCTAAAAATTTGCAGCCAATTTTGAAAGAGATGCATCTTAGCTCAGGAAATTGTTATTGAATATGTCAATGCTGTTGTAATGAAATGCTTCTTCTAAGTATGTGGTTATTAAATAAAATAATTTAAAAATTCCTTTCAAATGAGTACTTCAATATAAATATAAATATAAATGATATTATGTATCAAAATTTTTGTAATGCTGAAATAAATTGCTTAATGACTTTAAATAAAAAGAGTGCAACTGGCTAAAAAGAAACACAAATCCTCTAAAAGACTCAAAGCCTTAGAACAAAACATGAAAAATAAAAAGCCTTTATTTTGTTTAAAATGACAGAAGACAGCACAGAAGAGTCATAATGGTTATTTAGGTAATAAGAGAATCTCTTTTCAGCAAAGGATAAAGTAGACTTGCTTTGTCCTGCATATGTTGGTATTTCTGAGTTGTTACTTACACAGTGCTAAATCTCAAGATGCATCCCCTCCCAACAGCCCGAACTGTTTCAACAAATGGGAAGAAAAAGAAACAATAGTAAGTGCAATTATATCCAACAAATAGTAGTGGGATTTCCAGCTGTCTGTGCCGTCTGCCTGCTACCACTTCTCATCAGCTGCTCCTGAAAGACATCCCACCTGTATGTCAGAGCCAACAGCACAGAGGGCATGAACCTGATGGGGCATGAACCGTGGTCAGGTGTTGTGCTTACATTAAAACCAAGATCAGCTTAATTCTGATTCTTTTCAGGACCGTGTGTGTGTGTGTGTGTGTGTGTGTGTGTGTGTGTGTGTGTGTGTGTGTGTGTGTAGAATTCCTTCTGTATGCTAATAGAAAAATTTATCTTTAAAGAATTATGTAGAATAAAACATAATTTTGGGGGATTATCTTAATAGGTTTATTATTAGTATCACCACTGTCATTCTACATTTAAAGAGTGTCATTCACACACAAGAAGTCAGGTCAAGTCACTTTTTATATTTAAAAAATGGTTCATTCTAATCACAAAACTAATATATGTTCATTTAAAAGCATTTCATAAAAACATAACCCAGGAAAGTAAAAATATTCCCTAATCTAATTTTGCATACCTATAATCTCAATATTTTTTCTATGCTACTGTTTACACATATATAACTTCTTTTACAAAGTGTAGTCATGGTATATTGTGTGTGTGAGCATGCATGTGTGTGCATGTTAATGTGTGTGTGTACATGCATGCACATGCAGCGATCAGAGCAAGATGTCAGGTATCTTCCTCTGTTGATCCTGGTCTTACTGTCTTGAGACATGGTCCCTCACTGAACTTGAAGCTGACCATTTCAGCTCTGCCAGCTGACCCGTGAGCTCTCAGGATCTTTCAGGCTCCACCCTGCATTGCTGGGGTTGCCGGTATCCCCGGTCATGACTGGCATTTCATACAGCTACTGGGGATTCAGACTCAGGTCACCATGCTTACAGATCAGGCACTCTTACCCAATGAACCCTCTCTCCATGGTACATCATTTTAATTTGCATTTGTTTAAAGATAAGAACATATGATCATTATTTTGCTGTCATTCTATAAATAGGAACATAATTTTAATGGCTATAAAATAGTAATCTATGAGGTATTTAGATGCCCTTTAACTTTTTACTATAAAGAGAAGTGAACTTATTACAGTTTTGCAATACTGTTTGATTGATGTAGGTTTCTAGTTATAGAAGAACCAAAAGTTTTGAACATATTAAAAGGTCTTTTTATACATTTGCCAAATGACCTCCAAGGAGGTTGGGTTGTCCTGGTCACATCAGCATCATTTGAGCTTGGCTATGGCATGCATCTTCCACACTAGGATGGATGATTTTGATATACTTGACAAATACCTTCATTGGTTGCATTCACATACATTGATTCATATTATCTTTGTTAATCTTGAACTTGAGAATTTATATTTATTTTGCCCTTTTTAATGAATGCCTGTTTGTGATCTTTGCCCATTATTCTATTATGTAGCCATCTTTCTGTTGGTTTGCAAAAACTCTGTATATATAAATTCTGTATCTGTCTAGAGCCTGCTTTAAAAAAATTATCTTTGCCTTTTTTGAGGCAGGGTCTTGCAGACTTTGAACTCACTGGTAGCTCATGCTGCCAGGAACTCCTCCTGATGCTGCAGCTTCCTGAGCGCTGGCGTTATAGACATGCACTGCCATGCATACTGAGCTTACTTTTTAAATATAGAAAAATTTTATTTGATACAGAGAAAGTTCTAAATTGTGAGCCAGAAGCCCTGTTTGTACTTGAGGTCTGCTTCTAATTAGTCTGTCTGGGGCCAGTCACTTCTCTGCTCCTCCTTCTCATCTGTGTAACAAGCGTTGAACCTGATGCTCCTGTGGTTCCTTTCAGCTCTGTTATCATCTAGGCTTGGCACATTTTCTCCCAGTTGGAAGTATCTGTGGGATTTTGAACACTGAGGACTTAATTTCATTGTAGCTGTAAACTGTTACTGCCCCTACTTTCCTTTGGAAGATTTTGTAGTTGATGCTTAAAGAGATCCTAGAATGTGGGCCATTTTTATGGAAACTTAATGAAGGGCATAAGCCATATAGATATATTAACCTGTTCTAACTAGTGACTTCCAGACTTTAGTAATAGAGGGATGGCTGTGTATGCATATGGATTGGGAGGCCCTGCCAGCAAAGGTAGATAAAAAAAACCTCTTTAATCCACAGTCCTCACATTAGAATGAGAGTTTGATAAACACTAGCAGTAGATACTCTGAGGTTGTTTATTTTGTGGTTCTTCTGTAAATGAACTTTCCACATGGAACAACAGGACTTAAAGGGAAAGTAGAGGGTTGCGTTCTGTAGGCACCTAATTATTTGACTGTGGAACATAGGGCTAATTGAACTTACAGGGTCATTCTGAGGGTTTTACTGAGTAAGGTTTGTGTGGTTAAAAATGGTCAAAGCTAAAGGCCACTTGAAATCATTATACCCACAGGAGCAACTCTTCCAGTCTTGCTCAGGCTCATTACCAAGTGGTCCAACAGTCTGACATTTATGGCATCTGTGCAAAACAAATGATGGAAAATCCTTGATTTAACCTCTGCTTGTCTTCAAAATTGCTGATTGTACACTGTGCAAATTGCCAGCTTCTACGTGTAGACTGAGAGGCCAAGTGTATGCTGAAAGGATGGACTGATGAGAGTGCAGTGAGGCCCCAAGCAGAGTCCTCAGAACATCTGTACCTTCTCCTCAATGTGTGGGAATCCTTAGGCTTTGCTGTTGTCCTTCCACTACCCATTAATTTTCTTGTTAGACTTTTATATAAGAGCAGGTTTTGTTTTCTTTTGTGCTTTCCTACCCTGAGTAGTTTTCTAAGTGGAAGGTATTCTAGTTTGGTTTCTGCTGCTGTCATAAAACACTGACTAAAAGCAAATTGCTGGAGGATAGGGCTTCTTTGGCTTACAGGTTATAGTCCACTATGGAGAGACGCCAAGGCAGGAGCTCGAGGCAGAGACCATGAAGGAGTGCTGCTTACTGGCTTGCTGCCATCTTCTTGTACTCGGTCAGCTTTTTATGCAACTCAGGTCCACTTGCCCAGGGTGGTACTGCCCATATTGGGCTGAGACCTGCTGTATCAATAAGAAAATGCACCACAGACATGCCCACAGGCCAGGCTAGTGGAGGAAATTCCTCAGCTGAGGTTCCCTCTTCCCAGGTGTGTCAAGTTGACAACTAAAGCTAAGTATGACTGGATGTTAGATTGCATCCATGTACCAGAAAAAATAAGCATGTGATCCATTGTTCTGGTGTGGTACAGGGGACGGGAGTGTTTGCATGCAGGGAAAAAGTATCCTGTCAGGTGCGTCATACACAGATTCTTTGATGTTCCTATCTCAGTCTCACTCTGAGTGGTGATAAAGGTTGGAATGTGATGTCCCAGGCTACATTACATTGTTGACACACATATGTGTGAGAAAGGGGACTTCTTATTTGCTATTGGAATAAGAACTTGTCTACTTGTCCAACTGTATGAGTCATGGGTTAGTTTCAATGAAACAGCCATGTGTGTGTGTGTGTGTGTGTGTGTGTGTGTGTGTGTGTGTATGTGTGTGTTTGAGTATATGGTATGTGTGTTTGTTTGTGTTCATATGTGTATGGCTGTGTCCAATTTTTCTGGCACCCAGAGTCAGTGTTGGGTTTGTCTTTTTCTTTAAAAGAATTAAAATTTTTTTCTGTGTTTTTCATCTGCATGTATGTAAGTGCACCATGTGCACCATGTGCTTGCAGAGGCCAGAAGAGGGCTTTCGATCCCCTGGAACTAGAATTTAGGACAGTTGTTAGCCACCAAGTGGGTGCTGGGAACTGAACTCAGTCCTCTGCAAGAGCAGCCAGTGCTCTTTACCTCAGAGCCATCTCTCCCACCCCTGAGGTTGTCTTTTTCAGGTGCTCTCCTCCTTTCTTTTTGAGACAGGGTCTCTCATTAACCCTGGCTAGCCTGTGAGCTCCAGGAATTTGTCTGTCTCCTCACCCAGTCCTCCTGTACCAGAGCTACAAATGTCTCGCTCTGCACATGGCTTTGTATGTGGGTTCTATGGATCCACTCAGGTCCTCTTGAGAACCTGAGCCATCCTTTACTGACTGAGCCATTTCCCTAGTCTATGAAGCAGTACTTTTTTTTAAGTTAAAACAGTACTTAAAGAAAAGAGTTAATGGAAACTTAAAAAAATTTTTTTTGGTAATAAGACTAAGATATTTAAAATAAAAAAATGCTACTCAGGTTACATTTTAAAACATCCAATAGGATATACTGGCAAAGCTTTAGTTGAAAAAAGCCTAACTTAGAAAAGACTAGAGTATAATTTCATAGTTTAATCTTTCCTTCATTGGATTATTGTTCAAATGACCTGATAATTGGGAAGAATACTGTTTTTCTTTACCGTATTGTGCTGTAAAGAAAATACAACATCTTAGAAGGCCTGGGGAAATGGATCTTAAAATCATTCAACTCCCTGCTTAAAAAATTTTCATATCTTTGTTTTTGTATCTTTAAACATTTCTGATTATATAATATATGACATTTTTGAATGTTTTTTAAATTGAAAAATCCAAATTACTGACTTGCTCTGTTACTTAGAGAAAATGTGATTGAGATGAATTTATCATAACTGGGTTTTTAAAAAAATGAAAGATAATCCTTCCTTTTTGAAGATACAATTAACACTAGAATATTTACACTCTCATTAATGCCAATACTCCTGTGCTTTCATATAAAGTGGGAAGTTGGAAATTTGGAAACTAATGTATTGATGTTAAATTTGAGGGTGACAGCCTCAGAGCTGGAGTGAAAATGAACTTCCTGGTTTTATGACTGATTTTTGTCTTGCTTTGTCTTTGTATCAGAGATGATTGCTGACCACCAGATTGAGACTGGCCTGCTGAAGCCTGATCTGAAAGATAAGGTCACCTATACTTTGCTCCGGAAGCACCGGCATCAAACCAAGAAATCCAACCTTCGGTCCCTGGCTGACATCGGGAAGACTGTCTCCAGTGCAAGTAGGATGTTTACCAACCCTGATAATGGTAATGCAGGGCCGTGCAGCTGCTGCCTTCTCTTGCCTGTCTCACTCACCTTCATTCCATCTCTTGGCATCACCTTTTACCTCCTCTTTATATTTCTTTTCTCAAGTTCATATGCCATGTCATTTCATGACAGGCAGGTGTGCAGTCTTGCTGGAAGGATTTCATTGTCACTGTAGGTTACAAAGCCTCGTGCTTGACTTCTCCATGTGTGAATATGCTAATTGATTGAAATGGGTCTCTAATAACTCTGTCATAAAAATAACAGCATTTCAGATGAATCAGCAACTTTGCAGATACTATTGCGTACCTCAGAGTGCCTGTCTTCATGATGGCTTATAACAACTAGGGGGATGTGATAAGATGTGATAAATGCCTTGATAATTCAGTGTGTTTACTTTGGAATGGGAGGCAGTGTTTAGCCTATTAGTGATCGTTTCACCAGTGTAAGATTCTGTTATTTTTACAACTTCAAAAAGCAGTTGTTCTCTTGATAAATAATAGACATAATCAAATGGTAGACTAATTATTCAAGATGGGATATTAACTAAAATATGGAACAATAGGAAAGGTACTGTGTTCTAGTTACATTTTATTGCATTTACCACAATTTCTTGCAGAGTGTCTATCTTCTTTATCATTCTTTTTGTTTCAAATAAACGTTATGATCATGTGCAGTCTGAAAAGGGAGAAGTCAGTCTCCATGAAGTGTGAGAAATGAGATGTGGTAGGCAAAGGCGAATAAGCCTTGGGTTGGTAGAACCAGCCCAGACTCCAATTCCACCACTCCCCCTCCTTTTGTAGTACTAAGAGAATAAGGGTAATTGTAACTCATTGCATTATGCTGTAGTTTCAGAGTACTATACAACATTCTGAGAAAAATGCAGATTAAAATAATTGTATAAACTGAATTTGAACTCAGTCACTCCACTTCCAGAAATGTGATTTTTTCACTTGATACTGAAATCAGTGGTTGGATAGGTCTCTTATATTAGACTCCACCCACCCAGGGCTCAGGGACCATTGTGGAAAAGTGGGCAGAAAGATTGTAAGAGCCAGGGAGGAGGACCATATATGGAAATGGAGTCCTACAAGCTCCTGGGCCCTTGCTCATATGAATCTACAGTAATGGTATCAGCATACAAAAGACCTATGCAAACTCAAACAGACAAAACCCCAGCACAGAACTGTGGAAATGGGCAACAAGCTCCAATTTTAGTCAAAGAATTGTTGGCAGCTGATTACTGCTGGGTGAGGAAGGACTGATGTTCTTAAAGGGAGAAACTCTAGATAAGCTGCTTAGACCCCAGGGGATGAACTTGCACTGAGGGACTTCTGGAGACCTTAACTTTACATGATAGGTCTTAACACAAAGGGCAGAATGTATGAATTCCAGTGAGGGGCCTATGGGAGGGAGCCGGTGGGGGAAGGGGGTATAAAGATGATTAAGATGAAGACGTTATATATGAAATACACAAAAAACTCAATAAAAAATAAATAAAATAAAATCAATGGTTGGAAGACAGATTACTATAAACAAATTTTTATATTTTTAACCAAAATTGACTATAAACACATAATTATAGTACAAATGCTTTTAATAAGATACATTCTTGAAAGGGAGAATATTATCTAGAACAGTCCTACTATTAACTTGATTGTTCTGTTGTTACATGGAATGAAATGTTTTGTTTTTGTGTGCATAAATATACATATGTGGATGCATATATACATTTGTATGCACATATATGTGTGTATGTGTACATATATTTGGTTTTTTTGAGTCAGGGTCTCCCTGTAGTTCCAGCTGGCCTGGAATTTGCTATATAGACCAGGCTGGCCTCGATCTCACCTGCCTCTTTCCCGTATGCTGGGATCAAAGGTGTGCGCCACCATGTCTGGCTTGTATTTTTGAAGGACAAGTTTGTTTAATGGCTGAAAATGTCATAGTGTGAGCAGTTTGTTATAACTACTCTTAGGAGCATTTCATTTTCACCAGTCCATATATGTGATATTTTGGCATTTAAAGTTGATACCTCTCCTTTTATCTTATGTAATAATCCTCTTTTGCATATAAAATGTAATTCCAAGAATTGAAGTTTTTGTTTATTTTAAATCATGTTGTTAGTGGGAGTCAACAGCAGTAAGAAAATGCACAGTGTCCAAATGCTGCTGTATTAACAGAGATGAGGAATGACTGGCAGCCAGGGTGCTTTTTTTCTCAAATGGTGAGTTACATTCTCATGAGCTGCAGACAGAGCAGAAATTAGGAACAGATGTATCTCAGAACCAGTTTATCATGCTTTTGGAGAAGGTATTGGATGTGAAGTACAACTAAGGATTTGAAACTGCCCTTCATTCAGTCTTCATCCAATCAGTAGGTCTTGTGTTTCAGATGAAAGTTGGATTTGCCTTGTCCTTCACCCTTTTGTTTGTGCAGCAAACGGGAAGGGTAGGCAGTTCTTTTCCGGCTCTTCAACCGATCAGCTTATACCCTGAAGCATGGGACATGATTAGATCTCTTCAAACATGTTATGATTGGCCTTTGTGTTACCTAACTCCCTTTAAATATCACAGGCAAGATTTGGCTTTGAGCGATCCTACAGCAATGAATTACATGTGCCTGCAAGGTACATTATTATAAATTATCAGATGATGAAGTTTTGGCTTTCTAAAGGTGCTTGTTCTTAACTTGCAAGTTTATACAGTTACCTTTATGTCATAAGGTTTAATCATTTAATATCTTTTAAAAACTATGTAATGTTCTTAGAATAAACATCTAAAGTGATGAATTATCTAGCTATCATTACTATTTTAATAAACCAGAGTCTAAGGTCTACTGCTTGTTGGGCCTGAATTCTAATGTCCTTGTGTAAAACTTAGATAAACTAAGTCACCCAGTGACATTGCCAGTTTTAGTTATGCTAGCGACAGCATGATAAAACTGCTGAAATGTACGGAGGTGCATCAGATCTGGGGATTGCTTTATTTCCCAGTGGTGTCCTGGAGCCAGCTCTTACACATTCACAAGATCCAATTGCTAGCAGGGATTTTGCAAGCTGTTTGTTATGTACAGCTACTATTAAAAATTAAATTCTATAAGCATACAATGAAATAATTAAAAACAATGGCAACAAATGCAATTCATGACTTCTTATTTATTTGATGACATTTTACTATAATCTGTATACTTGATGTATTTTCTACCTGTGTGTGAGTTCATGTAAATACTATAAAATGATGTGCCACTGTGCATCGTGTTGTGGTGCTTACTCCAGACGCTTCATTTTAGCAGTTAAGTCAACTACGATGATAGTATTTACACCATAGAAACCATCAAATACTACAAATCAGGGCTTGCTTTATTGTTTTTTTTCCAATTGTCTCTACACGTTAAAAAATGATAGAGAAAATACTAATAATGCAGATTAAAGTTAAAAGCAGATAGTATATACAGATGCTAAAATGTGAATAGTCCCGTAAGATTGAAAAACATTCTTTTGATAATTAAAACTCCTATGTAATTTAGAGGAGTGACTGAAATATCACTGACAAATGAGTTAAGTCCGAAACATCTTCATTATTTTATTTTTCTTCTATTAACATGATAATATTAACAAAACATGGATATTGCTTGCCATTTGCAACTACAAATTAGTTGCAGATGCGAAAATTGATCAAAGAAACACAAAAGTATTCTGTAAGAATCAACTGCTATATATAACTTAGAGGAATAGAATATATTTTACTCTTTTTACAGTGTTTGCTGCATATCTTTTATGTCAGTAAAATTTTCTACACATGATACACACACACACACACACACACACAAACACACTCTCTAGTAGCTGGTTTTCAAACATTTCTGTTACTAGTATATGCATAGCTAAAAACTAAAGTTTTATAGGGTCCTTATGTGGTTTGGGTTCAGGATGACTTAGGTTTTTTTGTATTTGTTTTTTATTTTAATAAAACAATTTTTAAAAAATATTTTAAATTTAGGTATATGAGTGCATTACTTGCATGTATTTATGTACACCTGGTACTTATCTGACCCCAAAAGGGTCACATCCTCTGGAATTAGAGTTGCAAACAATTATGAGCTGCTATGTGGGTGCTGGGAATCAAATCAAGGTCTTCTGCAAGAGCAGCCAGAGCTTTTAGCAGAAGAGGTCTCTTCAGCTCCATCAACAAAACCATTTTTAGTGGTAGTAAATCAAGGAAGAACCAGGCTAGCTTCCATGATTTTGTTATTGTCAAATTGTCATTGCCCGAGGTAACTGTGTATTTTGTGGTGCTGTCTGCCAGGTACCAGCTTTAGGTAAATTTTATAATTTTTCAGCATGCTAATTGAGGAATCTCAATAGAGTTAGTATTGCATGAAGACAATAATGAAGTTTTAGCTTCCTTAGTCATTGAACTTTTCCTATACTCTTTATTTATCACTGTTGTGTGAGGTTAAGTTAAATGAAACTGACTTTTGTAGGTAAAATTGACAATTCTCAAACCCATGTGACACTATCAGATATTTATGTCAGAGATACTTAGATAATAGTTCTATACTATTTTAGTTTACTATGAAAGACTTATGTTTAAGTCTGTTTGTACTTGTTGATAGTATTTTAAAAATCAAAAATGATATATTGAGAAGTGAAAGTAGTTTATATGTAACTGCTATTCACTCAATACAGATTTCATGAGATATTTATGAAATTAGCTGATAAATGTCTTGAAATTATGATCTGAATCAAAAATAATATTCCTCATTTTTTGAATGGGAAAAAGTGGATGTTTTGATATGTGTTGTCTGCCCACAGCTTAAAAAAGATGTTTGATCCCTGACTGAGGGACCAAGACCAACCAGAAATTTCAGTTTGAAGGTTCAGCTTTTATCACTTCTGTAAAAATTTGGCCACCATCAGGCCATCATCAATTTGTTTCTTCTTTGTTCCTCTCTTTCTCCCCTTCAACTGTTGTGAAAACCAGTTCCTTGCCCTGCATGG